TTTCAATTGTGGGTTGTGTGAATGTGTGTTTACACATTATATGTGTATACCGCCGAATGAACGTCGGCACTCTGGCTTTGTATGGAGGTGTGGTCAATGCGATTGGTCTTTCAACATGGCGATGTATCAACCATTTTCTAACGAAAATGAATTTCTTTTTGATGGCGATGTAAATAACATTAATGCCTCACTCATCTACTTTGAGATCGTTTTTCCAATGATGACCATCAAGGAGTAAAACTCAGATTGGTAAAGAGTCGCAGTACTAATGGCAGGACGTACAATCTTCCTAACGCAAGTGAAATAGCAGGCTTGATCATTGGTGACTTTGACACACAAGAGGGTGTTAGGGATATTGTAGTTGAGACGCGCTCAAATAAGCTTCAACGAATCAGTGAGCTCCATCCTCTTTACTTTCCTCTACAGTATCCTCTTTTATTTCCTTACGGTGAAGATGGTTATCGAGACGATATCAGTTTGAGAGAATCTTCATTTGCTGATAATAGAAAACGAAGGAAGGTAAGCCTGCGAGAATTCTTTGCATACCTAATTCAGAAACGGCATGGAAAACATTCGTTACTTTTGCATTCCAATAAGTTATTTCAGCAGTTCTGTGTTGATGGATTTTCGATGGTTGAGTCACAGAGGTTGAATTTCATAAGGTTCAATCAGGATCAACTTAGGGTTGACATGTACAAGGGTATCGAAGAAAAGATTTTTAAAGGAGACACTGAGGGTAAATCTGTTGGACAACACATTATAATCCCAAGGTCGTTCACCGCAGGTCCAAGGTATATGTTTAACAACTTCGTTGATGCTCTTCAAATATGTAACTGGATTGGATTTCCAACCCTCTTCATCACCATCACATGCAATCCCCAATGGCCAGAAATACAAAGGGTGTTAAAAGATACAAATCTCAGGCCGGAGGATCGTCCAGACATTATGTGTCGTGTGTTCAAAATGAAGCTCGATAGTATGATGACGGAAATCAAGAAGGGCCGTATATTCGGACGTATTAGAGCATGTGAGTATTTAATTAGATATCCATTTGTAATTAAACATTTAATACGTTTATATAAATTAGATAATTTAGTCATGTGCGAGTTTAACTACTTTTTGCTTCATTAACTAAATTAATTAATATTTTTTAATACCGTATGTTTATATTTTTTATGCAGATGTCTGCACAATTGAATTTCAGAAACGAGGTCTACCGCATGCACATATTTTATTGTGGTTGCATAATGACGACAAGCCAAATAATCCAGAAGAAATTGACAGGATCATATGTGCTGAAATTCCTAACGAAGAAAACGACAGAAAGATGTACCAGTTGGTGGAGAAGTATATGATACATGGACCGTGCGGTCAGGCGAATTTGAAATCTCCATGTATGAAAGATAGAGTTTGCACGAAACGATTTCCAAAGCCGTTTGTGCAGCGCACTGAATCAGATGCAGATGGGTTTACAGTGTATAGGAGAAGGGAAGATGGCAGAACAGTTACGAAGAAGAAGACTACTCTTGATAATGGGTTTGTGGTCCCCTACAATCGTATATTGTTGAGTAAATACCGAGCTCACATTAATATCGAGCTATGCAACCAAAACAAGTCAATTAAATACCTGTTCAAATACGTAAACAAGGGGCATGACCGAGTCACAGCGGCATTTTATGAGACACGCAATACAGATGGCGGTGCTGAGATTCGTGATGAGATAAAGATGTACTACGACTGCAGATATCTTTCGGCGTGCGAGGCAATGTGGAGGTTGTTTAACTTTGATATTCATTACAGAGACCCGTCCGTAATTAGGCTAAGCTTTCATCTCCCCGATCAGCAGCCAATTGTCTTCAATGAAAACCAGTCGTTACAAACTGTGTTGGATAGGCCATCTGCCAAGCAAACTATGTTCCTGGCGTGGTTTGAGGCCAACAAGAACTATCCACATGCAAGGGACTTGAGGTACGGATAATTTCCACAACAATTTGTGTATAAAGAGGATTCTCGAACTTGGGCGCCAAGGAAAAAAGGATTTTCTATCGGTAGGATTGCGAATGTCCCCCCTGGAAAGGGGGAAGACTATTACCTTAGGTTGCTACTTAACATTCAAAGGGGATGCACGTGCTACGAGGACATCAGAAAAGTTTTTGACATCGTCTACCCTACGTTCAGGGATGCATGTTATGTGTTGGGTTTGCTAGATGACGACAAAGAATACATAGATGCAATAAAAGAAGTGAATACTTGGGCATCGGGGGATTATATAAGAAGGTTATTTGCGGTTATGCTGTTTTCCAATAGCTTAAGTCGGCCCGAACATGTTTGGCAAAGTTGTTGGTTGGATTTGGCTGAGGGTATTGCTTACAAACAACAACGTCTTCATAAAAATCCAGGTATGGCAATTTGTATGGAAATGTATTCAATTAGATTTTACGTATTAATCATTCTTTTAATATTGTCTCTGTACGATTTCAACTAGATGCACATAATTTATCCATTTTTTTATTGTTGAAGATTTACATATATCGGATGAAAGCTTGAAGAACTATACTCTCATCGAAATAGAAAAAATATTGCAAAGCAATGGTAAAAGCCTGCAAAATTACGCGCATATGCCAGTTCCAATCGAATACTCATCTGAGGACACAGAAAACATATTGGTGTTAGATGAACTGGATTACGACCGGTTTGAAATGGGTAGAGAACTTCAACAGTATCTTGCTTCCATTACAGATGAGCAAAGAAAGGTTTATGATGTAGTCATGGATGCAGTAACCAATGACAGTGGTGGAATGTTCTTTCTATATGGCCATGGTGGAACGGGAAAGACGTTTCTATGGAAAACTCTTTCGGCTGCAGTTCGTTCGAATGGAGAGATTGTAATTAACGTTGCATCGAGTGGTATAGCATCGTTATTGCTCCCCGGTGGAAGAACAGCTCATTCTCGATTCGGACTACCCATAAATGTACATGAGAGTTCCACCTGCAGCATATCGCAACAAAGTCCACATGCAGAGTTGCTCATAAGGGCAAAGCTTATTATATGGGACGAGGCTCCTATGATCCATAGATACTGTTTTGAAGCCCTTGACAAGACAATGAAGTCACTATTACAGGCTGATAAACCCTTTGGTGGTAAGGTGGTTGTTCTTGGAGGTGATTTTAGGCAGATTTTACCAGTTGTGCTTAAAGCATCAAGGCAGGACATAGTACATGCTACGATAAACTCCTCTCCGCTGTGGAATTTCTGTCGTGTCATGAAGTTGACTAAGAACATGAGATTGCAGTCATGCTCTTCTCCATCTAATGTGGATGAGATAAAATAATTTGGAGACTGGATACTGAATGTTGGTAATGGGGATGTTGGGGAAGACAATGATGGTGAAGCTTCGATAGAGATTCCAGATGACATGTTGATTGGTGATTCAGAAGATCCATTCAGAGACTTACTCGAGTTCGTTTACCCGGATTTGTTGAGTAACATGTACGATCGAGATTATTTTCAAGGGAGGGCAATTCTTGCACCAACTAATGAATGCGTCGAGTCTGTGAACGATCACTTAATGTCTCTCCTTCCAGAAGAGGAGAAGGTGTACCTGAGCTCAGATAGTATGTGTAGGGACGAGCACACAACGGAGGATAATGCAGAAATTTATTCTACTGAATTCCTCAACACAATAAGGATGCTCCGGAGTTCCTTCTCATGCGTTGAGGATCAAGGTTGGTGCATCCGTTATGCTAATAAGAAACATCGATCAAGCTAGAGGATTGTGCAACGGTACCAGACTTCAAATTATTAGAACTGGCATTCACGTTCTGAGTTGCAAAATTCTTTCTGGAAAAAATATCGGTGACATGGTGTTCATTCCTCGGATAACTTTAATACCATCTAACTCCGGACTGCCAATTAAATTTCAGAGAAGACAATTTCCGTTGATTGTTTCTTTTGCAATGAGGATAAATAAAAGCCAAGGCCAAACTCTTTCGCATGTTGGTTTGTATCTTCCTAGGCCTGTCTTCAGCCATGGTCAACTATATGTTGCAGTGGGCAGAGTTAAGAGCAGAGGTGGCATTAAGATATTCATCAAGTCGGATTCGGGTGAACTCACAAATGTTACTAGAATTGTCGTGTGCAAGGAAGTATTCATCGAATTTGAAGGTAGAAAATATTATCATTTATTCATGTAACATGTTTTTTATTTTATTTTTAAAGAACTTATTCTTTTGCATTTGTTTCTTATCTATATATTTTCCCCGGTGCGATGTTATTTTCAGTCATTTCCCTAGGGTGCTCGGTGCAATTCTTATTATCTTTAAGATTTAGTTTTGACGATATATTACTATTTAATAGTATTCTTATATCATAACTATGAAGAACATGACACTTATAACATATTTTTATTATTGTTGGTCGATTACGTTATGTACTTAAATTCGGTGACCGTGATAATTGATATATGCGTAAATTTGTTTTTGAGACATGTATTTTCAGTTAGAAATATGTCGCCCCGTGCATCGCACGGGTGAATACTAGTTTTTTGTAAAAGACTACAATAGTCCCACATACTTTAATATGCTCCAATTTGTCTTTAATTTAATTTAACCTTAATTTGACCTCAAATTTCACAAATTATTCAATTTTGACCCAAAACATTTTTTTTTAATATTTTTTTTCCGACGGATTCCGGCGTTAACTTTTCATTTTCTTTTTTTCTTTTCTTTTTCTTCCGGATTTTTTCGCTGGTTTCCGGCGTTGAATTTTTCGACTTTTTTTTTCCGTTTAAACAGCAATATTGTTGAGATTGATAGTAATATTAACTATATTACTCTTAAACACAGTAAACTTAACTAAACTATAGTTTAACACAGTAATATTGCTATATTAATCTCTAGGACAGTAATATTAACACAACAAAACTCATTATTATTGTGTAATAGAGTAATATTACTATGTTGACCATTCAACAAATGTAAACAAATAAAAAACCAAAAGAATTAATATTACAGTGAGTGACAGTAATATTACTATAACAACAGTAATATTACCGTCAACCACAGTAATATTACAATAATAGACAGTAATATTATTACGTTACTCCGTGAATAATTCAAACAAACAAAAAAATTTAAACAAAATAATAATATTGATGTGGTTAACAGCAATATTACTATAACAACAGTAATATTACCGTCAACCACAGTAATATTATAATATTTACAGTAATATTACAATAATAGACAGTAATATTATTACGTTACTGTAGCAACAAATTCTTATCTGCGATTTAGACAGACAAGAAAAACTTGCACAAAAATAATTTATTGAATTAAAATAAAATATTGTAGGTTACAAACTCTAATTTAATCATCTGATTCTTCTCTCAAGAACAATATGTGTTTGACTTTGAATTTCGGAGTCAGGTCGTTGACTTGATCTTCTCCGGATTTGATTTGGATTTGAATAACGTCTTCCGAGAGTCTTGCGACTTGAATCTCGGATCGAACGCTGAACTTTTTGACGAGTTTTGACTTGAAGATCTTGGAGTTCTTCGAGCTTTGACTTGAAGATCTTGGAGTTCTTGATGGATTTGGCCCTTCAATCTTCCTTCGATCTTGATTTGATGAAGAACGCCCTCGATTTGATGAAGAACGCCTTGAATTTGATGAAGAACGACTTTAATATTGTAGAGAGAATTTTCTCCTGCGATTTTTCTCCTCCTTGAGTTGTGTTTCGAATTGTGTAGAGAGGGTCCCTATTTATAGTGGTAGAATAAGAGTCCTACATAAAGTCTTCTTGATGACGTGGCGCGATTTGATTGGCTCTCTTTTAATTGATATTTATCTCTTATAACTTGGACGAGACCAATAATCTATTGGCCATTATTACTTGATATTATCTCCATAACTTATTT